TCCAAACATGCTATTAATTTTAAGTTAACATTAGAGGTTGTGTAGAAAATAATTAATTTGGTTACTTGCCCCAAACCCAAACATTTTTACAGGACAGATGAAAGCAACAAAAAATTGAAGAGAAAAAAAATCGCGAATGAGTAAGCTGAGGTGACTGGAGAAGTGAGATTTGTTGGCCAAAAAATAAATAAATAAATAAAAATAAGTGAGTATTGGTGATCGAGGGCCACATCTATGATCCAAATATTCCAACATAAGACTTTAGACTCAAAGCCTTAATCATCAAATCGTGACCCGTGGTGTTTTTCATTTGCGGACTTACATTTTTCTTCAATTTGATGCACAGGATATCCTCTGGTGATCGGACGCCACTAAGACAAAGTGTTCATCCCATATGATACAGAAATATCACTTTCCGTCCAATTGATTTCATGTCCTACTTTTTTCTTGCCCTTCAATACGCTTGATGTGTGGTCGCATCGATGAATATGAGTGCTTACCAGAAAAAGTTCAAGAAAATTTTATGAACGATCATCGTTTATTCCTTTTTATTTTAATGGTCTGGCTTAATTGGTAAAAGAATTATGTGATTGAATTTATAGTGCTTCTAATTTCACATTTTGATGGAAGTGTTGTCGTAAGCTAATATATAATTTTAATCACCTGATTCATATTAGTTATCCGAGGAGAAGTTGGAAGTGGGGTTAACTTGTGTGGCCGGCTTGTATAACCTTCACCTCGGAATGACTCATTGCCTCCCTTTCATTTTCCCTAATTTTTGCCTTTGCATATGTCGCTTGGTGTAACTCCATGTGAAGGCAGAGTTTGAAGGCAGTCCTTTCTTATGTATTTTATATATTTTTTTCCTGACAATCATCAAGCTCAATCGCATTTCTAAACAGGTCTACAAGGCCATGACCCACTTGCAGTGATATGAGTGCATGATATATAATCAATATAAACCTATACTTATTAAAGATGATTGCTCTAATACTAGTTATTTTTAAAAAAATATGAAAATTAATCTCTTAAAATAATTTTTATTAGTGAACAAACACTAAATAAAGTTTTGGTTTTACAACGAAAATTACAACTTACAACAAATGCGCTTAAAGTGGAAAAAAGAGTCATGTTTATCAATATATAGTCTATCATTTTTAATTTGTGAACATTTATTACATATTGCAACATTAAGGGATTATTTTCTTTCAAAAGTTTCATAATTTTAAACATCATGTGTGCATAAACCAATAAAAAACAAGAAGGCTAGCTAAATGATCTATATATGACTCTCTCTACTCATTTTGGGTACCTTTATGACTAATTATAGTTTTAGAGGGTTATTTATCACTAAAGTTTTAGAAATTTATTCCCAAGTGAAAACTATATTATCTTGCTATTAGGAAATTATTTAGGTTTTCAAATTAGAATCGGCATAAACTCAATAGGAAATTAAAAATAATATATACAACCCTTGCAAGGATGTTCTTTTTCTTTTTAGCCAACAAGGATACGTTCAAAAAATGAAACTGTCGTTGTCTCCAATTTTTTTTCTTTTTTGCCCAGGTCGTTGTCTCCAGTTGATGCTCCCACTTTCATGACTAGTTTCGGTGCCGTCCCTAGAATTGGGGAAATGAAAATTTTTCTCTAAAGAAATTGAAGATATTGTTACATCTCCATCTTTCCCTTTCAGACAAAACAAACCACCGGATCCTTCATATCCCACCAATGTTGACACCTTATTCCGTGAGAAGAAAAAAAGGGCTATTCAGCGTGGTGCCACCTGATTGCTAACGTCACCCCTAGGGCGTTTCCTCCCCCTCATTTAATTCCCGCTTTTAATCGTAGACTTTCTACCAGGAAAAATTTGGTTGAGGACTCATGATGGAAACATTGGCTACTCATTATCCATTGACATGACTCTCCAACTGGGTGGTGTTATCTTGTTCTATTCCTTTCGTTACTTCAATTTCAACAGTTTTAAGTCGGCAAAGCTGTCCTTCGTAAAACATAACCGACGAATTTTTTGTTGTTGGTTATATTTTATATTTATGTTTTTTCCGTTAATTATGTCGATTATATACAAAATCACTTGTCTTATAATTGTTTTATAAGAATAAAATTAAATAAAACAAAATTGATTTTTTTTTGTTGATTATATATATTAAATTAATAAATATAGTTAATAGTTATTTTTTATTGATTATCTTATTATTAAAGTAATAAATATGACTAAAATTGTTGTGGATTATATATTTATAATTACCAAAAATGTTGTAGATTAAGTAATTTGTTGATTTTATTAACAAAATTAACTAGATTTTATAATTGACAATTGAGGGTTTTTTTTGAAAAGCAAAACAATTTTTATTTATTTATTATTGGAGGACAGAAGGTACTCCGAACCCGTAACAGGTATCTATGCTTGTCCAGAAATTAATCCCCTAAAATTACATTAGTCCTCCAAAAAATAAGATTGCCCATTCGTATGTGTTCAACTATGTAATCTGGTGTTCATTACCTATTTAAAAAAAAAACTATGTCATCTGGTGCCTGCATTTCCTTTTACCTCCTTCTTGCTGCTACAGCTCTTTAAATGGGCCATAGGATTTTGGAACCAGTCTGTCAAGGAGAAACAACAGCCTTTCTTTCTACATATAATCCAATTGAAGACCCTTAACTGGACCAGCTCTAGTAATCTTACATCTACGTCTTTTCCTTTAAAAATCCTCTCATTTCTAGCCAACCATATTGTCCATATAATGGCAAACTAAATGCCTCCCCAACTCTCCTTTCTCTCTTCATTTTTTTTAAGGACGCTAGAGTGTTGATGAAACACATTCTAGCACTCTTTGTCTAGCACCGAACTTATCCCCCACTATCTAAAACATGCATTCCAAAGGTTGTAAGCAACTTTACAGTGTATGAAGAGATGGCTGGTCTGCTCTATTTCTTCCCCGCATAAGTCACATTTGCAGTCCTCGATATCATGAATAATACCTCTTTTAAGAAGATTAGACTTTGTAGGTATTTTGTTTTGTAACACTTGCCACAGAAAAACTGGGATTTTACTTGGCACTAATGTGTTCTAGACGTTTTGAGAACCACTCCTTGTTGTTCCATCCCGTGCTCCACTGCTAGAGCTTGGTAAGCTAACCTTGTAGGGTATCCCTCGTCCTTGCTATGGATCCAATCCCACACATCAGCTTTTCCTCTTGTAATTATTGTATCCTGGATTTCTTTCTTAAGCTTTACCTTTTCCTATTCTTCCCAGCTATACAATCTCCGTCTCCATTGTATATTCCAATTCCATGTGTCGTTAATCCAACCTCCCATCTGTGAGATTTTGTTGTCCTTTCCTACAGATAGTAAGTAAAGCTAAGTAAAGCCTCGGGTATCTATTAGCCAATTTTCCTTTCCCGCACCATTCATCCCACCAGAAGTTAATGCTTTCCCCTTCACCCACTCTCACTCTCAACCCCTCAACTAACCATCCCTCTTTCCCATGATCAATGATGTCCAGCCTATCTATATCCCTCCACCAAATTGAACCAAAAGTAGTGCCCTCCCTTAACCAATTATATCTAGGTTCCCCCTCCCTACCGTATTTTTCAGCTATCACTTTTTTCTATAAACCTTCTTCGTCATCTATTAATCTCCCCCACCATTTTCCCAATAAGGCCATATTAAACTTCTATAAATCCTTCACTCCCAATCCCCCATGCTCTTTTACTTAACACCCTCTCCCATTTGACCTAACTTATTTCTTTTCCCCCTCAACCCCGCCCCACAAAAATCTTCTATGAATTTTATCAAGAGATAGGATCGTACCTTTTGGGATCAAGTACAATGACATCTAAAACACAAGGAGACTAGACAGCACTGAGTTAGTAAGAGTGATCCGACCACCAAGAGATAAGTATTGACTTTTCCATGTTGTAAGTTTTTGGCAAAAAACCTCCACTAGTGGCTTTTAGAATGAAAGCTTCCTGTTGCTTCCCCTAATGGAAATCCCCAAGTACTTAAAAGACATAGTCCCTTTTCTACAGCACATTACCCATGCCATTTTATCTAACCACTCTTCCTTAACCCCAATGCCAATGAGTTGGCTTTTGCTAAAATTGATCTTTAATCTCGATACTAGCTCAAATGTTCTCTGGATGCCCTTCATTGCCCAAATATTTTCCTTTGTGGTTGTACCAAATAGTAGCATGTCATCTGCATATTGTAGATGTGAGACCCTAAAGCCTCTACATCCCACTTCCACTCCTTCTAATAAGCCTTTCTGTGTTGCATTCAAAACCAATCCATTGATCCCTTCTGCAACTATTAGAAATAAAAACGGGGACAATGGATCCCCCTACCAAAGGCCTCGTGAGACTTTAAATTGTTTGGTAGGGCTTCCATTGATAAGTACTGACACCATACTTGATCTCGAACACTTCGTCACCCATTTCCTCCAAGTGGTAGAGAAGCCCATTTTTGCAATATGAAGTCAAGAAAACTCCAGCTAACTTTGTCATAAGCTTTCTCAAAATCAATTTTAACCATAAAGGCTTTCCTCTTCTTCTTTTTTGCTTCATTGATAACTTCATTTGCTATCAAAACCCCATCCATCAATTGTCTTCTGCTTATGAATGCTATTTGTTGTTCACCAATTATCCCAGCAAGAACCTTCTTAAGATGATTGGCCAAAATTTTAGCAAAAATTTTATACATCACCCCAATTAGTGAGATTGGCCTGTATTCCTCTATTTTCTGTGGATTATCCACTTTTGGCACAAGAACTATAAAGGAAGCGTTTAATCCTCTCACCAGATTGCCATTTTTCTGAAATTCCTATAGAAAGCTGATCACATCTACTTTAATAGTCTCCTAGTAACTCTTGACAAATTTAAAATTAAACCCATCAGGTCTTGGCGCCTTTGAGCTATCACAATCCCTTATTACTGCATTAGTCTCTTTTTCATTGAAGGGTGTAGTGAGGAAGTCGTTATCACTTGAGGAAATTTGTTTAAAGCAAACACCTTCTAATAAAGGCCTTTTCCATTGTTCTTTTGTAAATATGTCCTTATAGAAGGAAGCAATCTCTTCTTTCATTCTACTAACTTCCATAATCTAAGCTCCATTTATTTGTATACTATTCATTTCATTTCTCTTCCACCTTCCTTTCACACAATTATGAAAAAATTTTGTATTTGCATCCCCCTTTGTTAACCATGCTTTCCTTGATTTCTGTTGCAACGTGCTTTCCTTATATCTTATATTGTCCCATAAAACTAGAAAAGCTTCTCTTCTTCTCTTGATTTCCTCTTCTAAAAGTTGCTCATTCTCACCTTTCAAGTCTAGTTGTGCAGTCTCCGTTGTAGCATTACTTATTTTGTTATCAATTTCAATGACAATGCTTTTGCTCCACATCTTTAGTGCTTCCTTGGTGATCTTCAGCTTTTCCTTGAGCCAGAATCCAACCCATCCTTGAATTTTTGCCTTTCCCCATGCTTCTCTTATCACCTCTCCACATCCTTCATGCTCAAACCATACATCGAAGAATCTAAATGGTTTAGGCCCCAGTTCACTATCTGGTGTCTAAGAAAAATTGGGCAGTGATTAGAAACTATTCTGCTTAGTCCCCATTCTTTAGCCTCCCCTCACTTAACCATCCATTCTTCAGATAACAAGAATCTGTCAATTCTACACATGAGTTTGCCACTTGGTTTGTACCAAGTGAATTTTCTACCCACTAACGGTATATCGATCAATTCTATTTCTCTTATAAAGTTACCAAACACTCTCATTTCTATAGTTAACTCTCTACTCTCGACCTTCTCCTCCTCTTTTCTAACCGCATTGAAATCTCCCACCAAAAACCACATACCTCATATCTGCAATACTAAGCTTTTTAGCTCTTCCCATAAGGCTCTTTTTCTAGATAATTGGTACAATGAATAAACATTGACAATATTGACCCATACTACCTCTGCAACCCACACCCCTTGAATAGCAATAAAGTTCTCTCCCTCCCAAACTTGTGTCATTCTAATGTTATTAGAATTCCATAAGCACACCAAACCTCCTGACATACCCACAAAATCCTTTGCAACCCACTGGTACTCTTTTGAACCCCACAACTTACTACACAATTTCCTATCAATCCCTTCCATCTTTGTTTCTAGAATTGCTAAAAAGTCTACTCTTTCTTTATTCACTAATTCTCTTGTGATCCTTTTCTTCCCCACACCTTCATTCCTCTAATATTATAAGACAAAATATTCATTTAACCACAACACTAACCTTCTATTCCTTACTTACCCCCATTGAGCTCTTTGCCTCATTTTCTGCTTTATCCTTTTTCTCCATCTCTTTAAGCTTCTTGATAACCAGCTCCTCTTTGTCTGCAGTTGCCCATATCTTCTTTGCAAAGTTTCAAAGGTTAGTTGCAATTTGCTTGTTGGGTAGGTCTTTCAACATTCTATTGCAATTTTGGATGCCACTATCGCCAACGAAACCCCTTACCATCGCGTCACTCCTACTTGGCAAAAATTTTGGAATTTCTTCTCCCTTTACTTGTCTTGGCTTAGATCTTCCTTTGTTCTTCTTCTAATTCATAGCTCTTAGAAGGATTGAATTTCGGTATATCGAGCTACATGATTTGGCCTTATTCGTTCTCTTTTTCTTATCCTTCTCCAGTCTTGTGTCCATCCACTCCTTCATGCTTCCATCTTCACTCCTAAGCCCTTCCTAGAAAGAGCTATTGTGTTCCCGATTGTTCCTTTCTCTATGCCTTGTAATCTGCTTTGAAACCTCTTTTTTCTTTTTCATTTTTGGGCCCCCCTTCGATCCCCATTCATGAGTTCACATAAACATTTTCGGCGGCCCATACTTCCTTTGTATTTTGACCCTCATCATTGTGCTATAGGCCCAACATCTTTGGGTCAGCCATAATGTCAATGTCCGATCCAAATCTACCCAAACTTTCTATGGGATCAGAGCTTGACTGTGTCTTCTGTTTGTATCCTACTTCACACATTCCAACACCTTCTTTGTCACCTACTTCCTCCTCTTCAGTGTCTATGTCAATGCTATCCACCACAACCTTAATTGACTCTTCCTCACCCATCTGGCTAGGTGAGTGGCTATTGATCTTTTGTAGATAATCTCCATCATTACTCTTTTTTTCAAATTCAAATTTAGCCACCAAGGTTGACATGATAGCCAACCCTCTTCTTCTACCTTTGCATTCTAGTGGGTTTCCGACCACCGCTTCCTCACCAACGGTAACATCTATATTCGTTCCCTGGCTATCATCATCAGTGCCAGCTTTATATTTTGTGTCTTCAAACCATGATTCATTATATTCTGATTCACTATTGAAGTTGGGCATGAAATTGAATTTCAAAGAAAACAAGCTGTTTGTCAGTTCTTCTTTCGTGAATTTCAGCTCACAAAAGTCCCCATTAACTTTAATCTTTCTTTTTACTGAGACCACATCCATCATCGTTGTTGAGATAACGAATCTAGCAATGTCAAACCTTCTTCTCTTGCTTGTGCTGTCATCTAGGCAAATGAACTTGCCCCAAATAGATGCCCCAATTGAATTGACAATTGAGTTGTTTATTATAAGTGTATAATAGATAGAATTTTTCTCTATTATTTATATATTTTTCAGTTGTATTATGTTCTCTAATAGTATTTGTTTGAAGTTTATATGTATAACTAATTATAAAAATTTTAATTTTTAATAGATGTTTAGGGGAGAGAGAGAGAGAGAGAGAGAGAGAGAGAGAGAGAGAGAGAGAAATTAAATGGATGTGTTTAGTTATTGATTATACAAAAATGAATACTAACCCAAACACCACGTAAAATCCTGCAGAACAACAAGAAATATAATGAAGATTAACACATTTTAAACTCAAATCACATTATTTGCAAGAAAAAAAGAAATAAATAAAAATGCGAACATGCAGAAAAATGAGTTACTAACACGGCTTAGTCATTCAACTATATGTGTTATTCGTACAAACTAACAAAAAAATTTAAAGTTAAAGTAATATAACCAAGTTGGGGAATCAAAACAAGTGGAGGGAAGAAGGCGGAGAATGAGGAGAAAGAAGAAGACGACGTAAGCAAGAAGTGAACTCGGTTATGCCAAGAGCAAATTATATGGGACATTAGTGAATGATGTAAAATTGGAGGGAGTTAAAGAATTTAAATATTTTTTAACTGATCAATACTTTTTACTAATGTACATTACGTTGGTGCATGATTAACTCAAATTGGAGGGAGGAAAAAACTCAAATATTCTCTATGACCTGTCAACTCTCCGGTATATTTTTTTACCAACGTATATTACGTTGATGAATGATGCGTATTGGCAGGAGGCATAATTTCAAATGTTCTGTTGCCTATCAACTTACCGGAATGTTGTAACCACATAAGTAATGCCAATGTTTCAATTTTTACCCACATGACTTAGGTAAAAGTAAATAGATATGTCCAATTAGTATTTTTTTTTTCTCTAATTGACCATAAATATTCTCACTAAATGTGTGCACATCTGGTGAAAATTAAGATTATTAACAAGTTATCTAACATTAAGTAATTTAATGATCACCACTCTAAAAAAATGTGTTTAAACATGAAATATTAGATTCTATACTTAAGTACTACTAACCTCCTCCCACAAAATTTTCAAAGTTCAAATAGGAAAAAAAAAAAAAAAGTCAAATTAAGTCGGCTAGAGTTAATTTCCTGGTGAAGAAAAGTTTCCTAATGCTGTTTGCGTAAAAACGTTTTTGTCAGTAGGTTTCAGGGTTATACTAACTCTATTCGGGGCCTCACTATCTAGGTTCTTTCTCCAGATTTCTTAACAACCAAACACCAACCTCAGGAAGAAACTCCAGCAAGAATTGTAGAATTTCAAAAGTACTACAGTTCTAGGCAGCAAAAACTCCCAGGCAAAGCCACTATCTTTGTCAAATGGAATCCTCCTCCTGAAGGGGCTATCAAGTTAAACACCGATGGATTTGTTTTTGGAAATTCTGGTATGGCAGGAGCTGGAGGAGTTTTCCGGAATCATTTGGGAAATTGGATCTTGGGTTTGCTCGTAACATTGGTCACACCACTAGCAGGGCAGAACCAGAATTTTTTTTCAAAGGAACAAAATAATTTTTTATATACTAATTTATAAAATTTTTAAATTTTAAAAGGGATTAGATAATTTTTTATATATTAATTTACAAAAATTTTTAAATTTCAAGGGAAGTAGCGCCTCCCTCGCACCCCCCTCCCTCTGCCACTGACTATTAGCATTGCAGCTGAGTTATGGGCCATTCGTAACGGTCTTAAACTTGCTGTTTCTAGGGGATATAATTGTCTTATCTTAGAAACTGATTCACGTACTGCTCTTACTCTTTTGCATGCTGAAAATTGTAATTTCCACTCACTTGCTGTGCTTATATCTGACTGCAAGGTTCTCCTACGCATCCATGATGTGCAGATCACTCATATCTACCGTGAAGCTAACTCGGTTGCAGACTGCTTAGCCAAAATGCGCACTAGATTAAATAATCCTTTTGCTATTTTTGAACAATGTAAT